GCAACGGGGCTGTAGATCTACGTAGGGCCCCCAAATCTCCCAAGCTTCTGCGAGGACCACCGAACCGTGGCACCAGATCCTAGTAGGGCCACCGAAAACGTCAACTTTCGGTACACATCAGCCCCGCAGGCGATTGAAGACCGATTCACCGACCACGAACGAAATCAAAGCCACTCACTAGGAAGCTGTGCGACACCCACGCGCGCAGGTTCGAACAAGCTGAGGGTGAAGCGGCCGACAGCATCGAACAGCTCCAACAAACTAACCAATGGACGCGATCAAGACAGCATCTGTTCGCTAACGCGAGTCTATCGACCGAACCGAGCCGTGCACAATCTGTCCCGTTTACCCCTGAGACGAAGCCAGGACGAGGACAACATCGGGTGAGGATACATAGAGAATCTCTGAGATCTGGCGGCTCTGGGGGATGTCTCAGAGCGTCCCGGGACTCTCTGAGAGCGTGCTGGAAGGCTCTGGAACGGATTGATCCTCGTGCGAGCCCCGTCGGACCCCCCCCGGGCGCCAGCCACGGGCGATGGACTCAACTGGAGGACCTGAAGTGTGGGATCCGACGCCCGGAGCTTGGAGCCCGCGCCCGCCCGGGGAGGAGACCCCGAGCACGAGAGCTCCATCGAGACGCCCGTGGAGCCCCGCGCCAACTCGGGCGACAGCTCTGGTGTGGCAATTCTGCACGAGCGTGTCGTGGCTTCCCGTGGTGGCGCCCCTCGGCTGCCCCGAATCGCGTTGCGGCTCCAGGGCGCCGCGACTGCGAGGCGGCCTCAGAGGCGCACAAGCCCGCAGGTGAACCCACGCGACGCGTTCGCGTGCTGGGCATGCGCTCACGAGCTGCGTCTGGCAGGCATGCGTCCTGCACTTGCGATCCAGGCACGCGCGCACGAACTGTGTTCGGCAGGCGTGCATCCTACACATCTCATCGAGTGCTTCGCGCAGAACAACACAGGAGAGTCCATGGTGGCTGCTCTGCGCGAAGGCCAGAGGGGCTCAGGCGAGGTAGTTCACGAGCGACGCACATATCCGTATCCGCGCCCTCGCGGTCTGCATTCTGGGGCGCGATCCCGCAGATACGCGGTCGCATGGATACGTTCCGCGCGGGGCTTCCGCGGAAAAGCGCGCCGCATCCGCGGGGTCGCGGTCCAGGGGCTCAGTCAGGCGATGCCGCGGACACGGACGTGTTTTTCGCCAACGAATGGTGGCGACACGGCCCACGACGACGGGGGCCGAGCTAGGCCTCGGAAGGAAGTCCACCTGGGCCTGGAGGCACCAGGGCTGGACAGTTGCGGTCCACAGCATGTCTGGACTCTGCTCCCTGGACCTCGGCCGGACACACGCAGAGAGGCCCCCGTGCGCGCCACGACCTGCTCCGGGAACGGGCGGTCCGGCTGCGCGTCGAACGGCTCCCCAGACAAGATGCCGAACTTCATCAGCTCCAGCGCCACCAGGCACGGCTCCTGGCGGCTCCCCCTCCCTCCCGTTCTGCCCGCTCCCTGCCCCCTGGCGGGGAAACAGCAGGACTGGCTCGGGGGGGGGAGGGCATCGACCTGGAGTCGGGGCGATGCCTCGCCGATGCATCGGCGACAGGCCCCCAGGAGCAAAGCCGCACGCCCCTTGACCGGGGGGGGTCGGGGCCCCCTCGGTGAGGAATGGGCGATTGGGGGTCGATGCGTTCCCTCCGAGCCCATCCCCCCCCCCCTACGTTCCCTCCCGAGGTCCCCCCTTCCCTCCCCAGTTTCCCCTCCGACCGTGCCCGCGGTGGGCGTCGTCCGCTGCTGCGGGCGTCACGCACGGCCCTGGCGCTCTTGGGAGAAGCCCTCCTCGGAGTGGCCGCGCCTGCCACTGCAGTTGGAGCTCGACCGCCAGGAGCCTTCCACAAGAGACCCAACCCCGAGGCCCGTGGGCGATCATGGATTCCTGGTGTGGGGGCGTCACGCTGTCCATGGCAAAACCATCGGAACCCAAGACACCCAGGGCACGCCGGAGGCAAGCAGGGTGTTTCTTGGCATGGGTTTCCACTGCAACTGTACAAAGCAACATGCAGCAGAACTTCGCGACTGTCGTGGAGGAAACGGATCCTGGCGTGAACGGGTCCGGGACCCCACGGGCTCTCTCCTGGTACCAGGTCGTCGTCCTGAGATCTCCAGAAGCGGCCCCCACAGGCCGAGAACGGCGGAGAACCTCAAGACACCTTTCTCTTAGGAGCCGTCTGCTTCATGGCGACGCGAAGATGCTCGGGAGCGTCCAGGAGGGGGGCGCCCAAGAGGGGCAGTTAGCAAATCGTGGCCCCAGGCACGTGCGCGGACGAAGGGGGGGACCTGGCGACAATGTTCTTAGAACATAAACCCGATGTGTTAAAAGAAGACAGTCCCAGCCAGAAATGTTCTAAGAACATTTCGTGGGAGCCACAAAAGGTTCTTAGAACATTGTTTGGTGGGGCTATAGGCGAGCCGGGACGCTTCGCAACTGCTTGACGTATTGCAAGTGGAAGGGGGGCAGGGCATCTGGGGAGATATCATGGCCCCGGCCATGAGATCCCCCTCCGTCCTCAGCGGGTCTTGGCCGCCCCCGAGGGCTCCAGGGCGGCGGTGCCGCGCCGGGACTCGGGCGGTCTCGTGCAGGACGCCAGGGAGCGACGTCAGACGCCCGACGGCCTCGACGTGCACACCACACACTTCGATTGTCGCAGAAGCGACGCTCGCGCAGATCGGCCGGGCGGACACAGGGCCGCCGTGCAGCAATCAGTACACATCGGGTAGGGGATCGACTGAAGTCGAATCTACGACGGCTGCGGGATGGAGGAGCTCCCGGGGCGCGTAGACCATTGGGGCCTCGCTGCCAGCCCACGCGGGAAGCCCTGCTGGAACAGCGCGCGCGCGCCTTGTTCCGCGTCTGGCGGCCCCAGCTCGCGTTCCGGGCGCTCCTGTCCGCGGCATTCCCAGGGGAACCCGTGGCCTCGGACAGGATGACGTCGCGGCAGCGGATGGCCACGGCCAAGTGGCGCTGACGCGCTGACGTCCTCGTCCTCGACAGTGTGGTACGCCCGTCCAGGCAGAGTCTTGTCTGGCTGCTTGCGGGGGGGCCCTGGAGACCGGCCGCGGCCTGCATCTTCTCCAGCCGAGCGTCCTGATGGGCATCGACCCGCTCCCGACAGTGAGCTGATCGTACGCTTCGTCAACGTCGTCGGCGCGAGTCCTCTCATCGCCAGCCGTCAGATGCGCGCCCCAGTCTGCGCCCGCGCACTCGTCGGCCTCCGCCCTGCGCTCGAGGGCTCCGGTGAGCTCGGAGCGCGCGATGGCCCAGGCCATGCGAGTGCGCGCCACCTCCAGTTCGTCATCCTGGTACGCCCCCATGCCGAGTACGACCGCCTCGATCTTCGCATCGTAGTTCATGTCGATGCAGAGGCAGGCGGAATCGGATATGGCCGTGCCCCCTTTGCCGGCGGGCTTTGGGTCGGCGCGCAGCTGGATGGCGTCTTCGTTAACCGACGCTTCCCACGCAAGGCCCACGAGGTTGAACCGAGGGGCCTTAGCGTCAGCAAGGGAGGCCGGAAGAGCGTCGACCTGCATCGACTGAGCCATGGCGGAGCCCAACGGCTGTCAGCTGATGGCGAGAAAGGCCGCGTAGGGCCCGTGGCGGATCAAATGCCTGAGCACTCGAGCCTCGCGACGGCGGTCGGCGCACCGCGACGGACTGGAACGGCGCGCCCAGACGCTGCGGAATCCCCTGCGCGCGTGTCTACAGGAATCGTGCAGTCGTGCTTCGGTCGCCCGTGCCACTCCTTATCGACCGCTGCCGGCGATGGCCGCGACAGCACGCCAAGCGGAATTTGGCTGCGCCGGCCTATCCGCCGTTTTGGGCGCATCGGACCATTCCGCTTTCGCGCGGCCCCCTGGGGCATGAAATCCGGAAGGGCACGCCGTGCAATGCGCGGGGTAGGCGCGGGGACTCCGCGGCAAAGGAGGGGGGGGAAATGCGGGCAATGATGCGCGCTCCTGGGGCGCTGATCTGAACGCTGTAGGTGGTGCATCCCGGCATGCGCAGGGCCAGTTAGGGACCCGTTACCCGTTTTGGGGGGCCGGCGGACCTCCGGGACCTCCAGAGACCTCTCCTTGCAACGATGCTGGCGAGCGCACGGATGGGCAGAGGCGCAGAGAAAGGCCGGCCAGGTAAACGTCACCATCGACCGATCCGCAACTCCGCAGCGACCCGCACGCTTTTGGGGGGCCCTGGCAGGCTCCCGGGGTCTCTGGCCCTCCCGCGCACCTTCGCTGAAGAGCTGCGAATCCGCGATCGGCGCTGCGACGCAACGCAGCGGCAGCGAATATCACATGTGCTTTTGGCGGACCTCCGAGACCTCCCGAGACCTCCGGCCCTCCCACCAACTTCGGCTAAAGAGCTGCTGAGCCACGGTCGGCGCTGTGATGCAACGCTGTGGCAGCGAAGGTCACAGGTGCTGGCGAGCGAGACGGGCAGAGGGGCGGGGACAGGACGGCCCTGTCAACGTCGCCATGGACGACTCCCCCACCCGTCAGGAGCAGGGGATCAGACGACAAAGACTGGGGCACGTTGATATTCGCAGCGCCAATAATATCCGCACAGAGGAATGCAGGCCCGACACGTGAAAACCAGCAAATTTCGGTACTTTCTTGGTGCTCGAAATTCTCATCGCCGGAGGCGCCCCCTCCGGGAATTCTGATCGCAGGAGGCGCCGGCGTCCAATGCGCGGCGATGGGCGTGGAGGCAAGCCCGCCGCGCCGACGCTAAGGTCTCCAGGCGTGCCGCGGAATGCCTGGCGCACGCGAGCTCGCGAACGCTCCTCCACCCCTTCTGGCCGTCGGCCATCCTCCCGCCAATCGCCGAGCTCGGCGCGCCGCTCCACGGACAGCTGGGGGCGACCGGCGACGGACGGGAACTTTTGATGCAAAGAATATGTCGGTGTGGCATGATGGCCGTCGCGCGAAGGCAACCAGTGAACTCGGCATAGCTCATGGACTGCCAGCAGACAATATGGAGTCGGGCACGAAGTGCGTCGCATCGGGGGCATGATGCTGCAGCAAAGCGCACATGGCACCGAGGGCGCGGCGCCTCGGGCTCTCGCTGGTGGGCCCGGCGACGAAAACAACAGCCCCATGCCGAACCTTCCCTTTAGCCGCGCACTCCGCCAGGGCCCGAGCCGAGCACGTCTCCGGCGCGAGCGCATGGCGCTGAGGGAAATGGCGGCAATAGGGCCATCTGCGCCATCAATTGGGTAGCGCAAGTGAGTAAACTAGCCGATGGCGAATACTGTCTCCGGGCCCGTAGCGGTAGCTCGGCCGCCTAGCGGAGAACTCCTTCTGGCCGCGAGTGCGTAGATCCGCGCATCAGCGGCGAATGCAGAGGCAGGCGCGGTAAACCTAAATTAAGATGTGCGAAGCGGAAGCCCACCATCACTCCACGCACCGTCGCGGTTCCACCACCGGCCACATCGGCCAGCTAGATGGCCAGCGAGAGCGCGGTAGGAGAGATGTGGCGCTGGAGATCCAGGGCGCGTGATATCCCACCCACTGGAGCCAACGCCGCAAAACGCCGCCCGCAAACATCATGCCAGATGCTTCGAATGAGTTGGCAAGCGCGCCCCTGTAATGTGTCAGACACTGCGTGACACCGGACTGCTCGGCCTCGTGCTGGAAGTCGCTGACGTCCACCAAGTTCTGGCCGAAGACCTCGATGAGCAGGTCGGCGGCCTTCGCGCGGGAAGCCTTGTCCTTCTCTTCCTGCGAAAGAGAAGCGCGCGGCGTCCGCCAGGCGCCAGAACCGCGAGCTCGGCCTGGACCGCGCATGGATGCCAGCGGCTGCAATCGGAGACGCCCTGCACCCCGACCGCGTAGAGCGAGGAGGCCCTGAGCTGGCGCATCCTCGTCGGAATCGTGGACTCGAGCAGCCAAGAGGCGACTCGCTGCAGCCCGCGTGGCCAGAAACGCGGGCGAGGGGAGGCCGAACATCTTGTCGAGAGTCTCCATGCGCAAGCTGGCCATGTCCAGCTTGGTCTTCAAGCCTTTCGCCAGTAGAATGCGCCGCTCGGTCTCGGAGGGGTCCGCGAGGAACGCCAAATCGCATCGATGTGGTGAGACCTCGGCTGCGACGGGGAGGAGAAGAGCGCTCGTTGCAGCCGCGCTGGCAGCGACGCGATCCAACGGCGCCTCCACCGCCTCCGGCGCAGCTCCGCCCTCCGCCACAGCCTCCGCGCCTGCGGCTGACGCGATCTCGGAGGACTCTGTGCCTACAGACGGCCCGCCCGTGGCCTGACGGCACCAAGGCAGGCCCCCGCGCGGACAAGCAAGGCTGAGGACAGAGGCTATCGGTAAATGGACCCGCGGCTGCGCCGTAACACGCCAGGGGCTCCGATGCAACCACAGGCCCCGCCGACGCGCCACTGCCCACCTTGTCAGCCGAAGCAGAAACCAAACCCCTAGGGACCACAGGGGATAGAGAGGGGTCGTCAGGCACATCGGAGTCCGAACCGGGCGGGCGGAGCGACCACAACGGATGGTAACAAGCGATCTTGGCACCATCTGGCGCCCGCGCTTGGCCATGGTGGAGGCGCGGCAGGGGGGCTCAAGCCGGGGGCTCGGGGCCACAGTTTCGCGAGGGCCCGAGCCAACAGTTCTCAGTAGCGAAGAAGATGATGACGATGGCGATGGTGCCGAAGACAAGGAGGTCTCGGCCACGCCTGCGCAACACCGAATCCGTGACACCCGAACTGGCCCTCTCGGTTTCACGGTTTCCGCCGGTCGGCTTTCGCACCCCGGTCGGGGCTGCGGGAACGGCGGCCCCAGGTGACCAGAAACTGTTTCCCACAATTTCGGTCTGTCCTCGGCATAGCAATGAGACCCTGGGCGCTCTGGGGGCCCCATTGCACAGCTCTCGGTCGATGAACGCTCTGGGGAGGGGGGTTCAAAAGCTCTGTTCCCCAACGGGGGGGGTCATTTCGTTAACCCCTGTCCAAGCCAGGTGGCCGATAGTCGACGTGCCGATGAGAATAATTGTTGCAAGGGGGGCAGGGATTGTTCACCCCCGCGCAAAATCTGGAGCCAACCCGCTGCTGATGCTACGCCACTTTCTGTCCCTACATCTCCATCAGACGTGGGCCCCCGCCAGACGAAGATCATGCCGACAGGCTCAGCCCCACTCACACCATGATGTCAGCCTATCAAAATCCACCTATGGGGGCATCAACCCACGAGGGAGGGCGATAAAGGTGGGGCACAATTCGGTTGCAGTCGATGGGGTTACACAGGAGGCGCCTGGAAGAGGGCACTGTCCTGCCGCCAGTCTGGTCAGCGTTCAGCCCACGGCGATGGCACGCCAGCTCGACGGGCACCACTACACAGTCGAAGATCGAGATCAAGGCATCAGCACGCAGGCCATTTGTACTGTAGGCCCTCGGCATGGGCCACACCTGTTCGTTCGGAGGGCCAGGTTGAGGGAAGGTAATTTGGGGGAGGTCGTGCTCTTGCCGCTGTGCCCATTTCGACAGCCTCGAAGGGTAATATTTGTTTCATATTATTTACACGCATCCTCACACAAGCGGGCACGCACTGCGCTCAGGCGATCTGTTTGGAACGCGCGCGTGATGTTTTTTAGCAGTGAGCGTTCAAACGCAACGGCCATCCCGCACATGATTGTGTAACGCAGAAGAAAAAGAGGAGGACGGAGGATGCAGGAGAAGGAGGAGGAGGAGGAGGAGGATGAGGAGGAGGAGGGAGGGGGAGGACGACGACACAGGCCTGCTTCTTCTGTAGGCTTGCGCGATCCACCCTCTGATCACCGCTCCCGCCACTTTCGCCTCGCGATCGCCCGCGGCTCCTGGAACTGCCTCGGGGTGTCCGCGAGCACGTCCCCCAGCACCGTCATGCCGCCGTCGGGGGACGCGATGAGCTCCAGGTGCTCCAGGACCTCGGCTTTCCCGCGCCCCCTCGCCGCCCTCCTCCTCCTCCTCCTCCTACTCCTCCTCCTCCACCTCCTCCTCCTCCTCCTCCTTCTCCTCCTCCTCCTCCTCCTCCTCCTCCTCCTCATCATCATCACCATCATCATCATCACCATCATCATCATCATCATCATCATCATCATCATCATCATCATCATCATCATCATCATCATCACCATCATAACCATCATCATCATCAACATCATCATCATCATCGTCATCATCAGCATCAGCATTATCATCAGCAGCATCCGCATCAGCATCATCATCACCATCATCATCATTATCATCGTCATCAGCATCGTCATCACCATCACCATCACCATCATCATCATTATCATCGTCATCAGCATCATCATCATCATCATCATCATCCTTATCATCATCATCATCATCATCATCATCATCATCATCATCATCATCATCATCATCATCATCATTATCATTATCATCGTCATCAGCATCATCATCACCATCATCATCATCGTCATCAGTATCATCGCCATCAGCATCATCATCACCATCATCATCATCATCATCACCATTATGATGATGATCATCATCATCATCACCATCATCATCATCATCATCATCATCATCATCATCATCATCATGATCAGCATCATCATCATCATCATCATCATCATCATCAGCAGCAGCATCATCATCAGCAGCAGCAGCAGAATCAGCATCAGCATCATCATCATTATCATCATCATTTTCATCATCTTCATGATCCCCCTCCCCCCTCCCCCCTCTCCTCCTCAGTTTCCTCCTCCTCCTCCTCTTCCCCCTCCTGCCCATCCTCCTCATGCTTCATGCTTCCTCCTCCTCCTCCTCCTCCTCCTCGTCATCCTCCCTCCCTCCTTCCCTCCTTCCCTCTCTCTCTCCCTCTCCCTCCCTCCCTCCCTCCCTTCCCTCCTCCTCAAACGCGAGGAGGAGGAGGAGGGTGAAGGCGACCTTAACTTGCCTTCGCCCCGCGCCCCCCCCCCCCCCCCCCGGTCTCCTCCTTACATACATCCCTCCACCTCCTCACCTCACTCAGACGCCACAGATCAATCCTTCCAGCGTCACTCGTCGGGGGTGCCCCGTCCCACCCCAAATCTCTGGGGCCTACGGGATTGTTTTTTTGGTGATATTATTAGTATCATACCCATTACTCGCATTCTTATTGCTATTATTAGTGAAATTATCATCATGAGGAGTGTTTTTGTTATCGATCTTATGGTTGCTATTATCATTATTATTTCAGGTGACGGTCGCTTCCCGGGGGGGGAGGGGCTGGTACGTAGCCGGAACGCTCGGGCTGGGTGGGGCACGTCGGGGACGGAGGAGGTGCGCAGCGATCTCCTCAGTCTGCGCGAGCACCGGCATGCGGGAGGGGGTCCGCCCCCCCGCCCCCACGTGCGATCGTTACCATTAGAAGGTCCAAGGACGCACAAATAAATACACACAAATCCCAGGATTCCCCATATTTTCCCACATCTTCTGGGTTTCGTCTTCCCCCCACTTCCCATATTTTCAAATATTTTCTGGGGAATCGGCAATTCATTGAGTCTGTGTGTTTTTCCCCTCTGGACATCACCAGGGTGGGAGGTAACGATCTTCACGCGCAAAACCATAAGCAAACACAATCTCTCTGCGGGTCACAGCTGACCAATTCTGTTTTGCTCCTCGGGCGCGCAGCAGGACAGGCCCAGCCTCCCAAGACAGGCGGCGCCAGCTCGCCCGACTGCTTCGCACTTCGCCTCCATGCAGAGTTCAGATATGATCCCCCTCTTCTCTTCACTGACTTCCCAAAAAAGAACCAACAAAACAGCCCTTGTGTGCGGCACACCCGCATCGGCGCGCTTCTACACCTCGCTTGTACAAGCAATTTCGCAAACACAGCTGCCGCTCTCGTGAAGGCGACGTTAGAAAGAAGAAAAAGCGCCATCAAAATAAACTGTTGGCGCTCCGCGCGGATTTCTTGGATCTGCGCTGGACCCCCCTCCCTGGCGCGTGGAGCGCGTGGCGGCGCCGGAGGCGCAGCCGGAGGGGCCCAGCGCGGATCCAAGAGATCCGCGCGGAGCGCCAACGGTTTGTGTTTACGGTGTTTCTTGTCCTGCGAGACGCGGAGAGGCGTCCCTTCCAACACCCATTTCTGGAGCCCTGCCGGCCACAGCCCGCCCATTCTGCTTCGCTCCTCAGGTGCGCGGCACAAAAGGCTCGGCCTCCAAGGGAGAGGCGGCGCCGGCTCGCCCGACTGCTTCGCACCTCGCACCCGTGCAGACTGAAATCGCCCGCCCCCCCCCCCTGTGATTGACCAAAAAAGGACCCCCAACCCTTTTGGAGGGACCAAAGTGAGGAGGGCCAGGAACACTACGGATAGGGGGTCTTTCCTGGAGGTGTATCGAGCGCCGGAACGCCCAGAAGTATAATCCCTGATGCGAAGACGGGGAGGATCTCAGTGAGGCTACGTCTTCATCGTGTGATTAACGCAAGGGGTTCCCTTATCCTCAATGACCCTCCTTTCGCTGCCGCTCGCATTTTCGCTTGAGGATAGCCGGCGGGAGACGAGGTTCCGCAAGGCCCCGCGGCCCCCACGGCACAGTTGACCGTCTTAGGCGGGCTCCTCGCACGCTGCGCTGGCCTGCCTTCTCGATCGCGCGCTGCGCTGGCAGGCCCAACCTGGCCCAGAGCTGTGGGGGGGCGAGAAACCATCATGATGGCCCTCGCGTGAGGCATACCCGCATTAGCGCGTTGCCGAATCTAGTTTGCCTGGCCCATTACGCAACAGCTCCTTCAAATGAAACAAATTTTGTGTAAGGCACACGGAATGTTTTGAAAGTTCATTGGAGGAACTAGAGAAGACCCGCGTTGCTCCCTCGCGCGCAGGGATGGCATCAATCGAGGCGGGACACGTGGGCCCGAAGACACGGGCGACGGCATTCAGCAAAAGCTCTGAACTTTTCCAGAAGGGACCTTGGTGTCGATGTCGGGCTCCAGTGCCCCGATTCCTGTGTTTCGTTTCGCTCCGCGGGCAGGACGTCGCCTGGCCTTGCGAAGGACCCAAACTCTGCCTCGGGCGTGGGCCCGTCGAGAACCCCATCGGAGCCGTGCCGAGGAGCGGCCCGGCGAGCAAAGGCTTCCGGACGGGAGGAGTAGCATGGGGATCCCGACGTCTGGCCAGAGGGTCGCGCTGCTTCCAAGGGGGGGCCGAAGAGATGTCCGTGCGAATGCCTGACCTCGGCGTTCCCTTCCGTCCATGCCCCGGCATCCCCCCCCGCCGCCGCGCACCATCAGATGGATGAGCGCCGCGAGTGAGTTGGCGTCGTTGGAGCACGCCGGGTAGCCTGCGAAGCGGGAGCCCCTTCAAAAATCACACGTCCAACAGGTAGGACAGCCTCAGGATCCCATAGAAAACTCACTCCAGAAGCTACGATGCGAAGTGGTGTGACATACCAGCGCGGATCCCAAAAAACCGTACGGAGCGCCAAAAGTCTGCGTTCGTGGCTTTTTTTTCTGCTTCCAGGGGAGGCAGGGATGCAAGGGACCCTTGAGAAGGTTGCCCGTCCTTGGCTGTGCGGGGTGTACTGCAAAAACCTCGCCCGCACCCAGCACCCCAAAACTCCACGAGGCGCTTGGGACGGGGCACCGTGCGAGACGAGGCGGCCCCTTTGGAGGCACGACGGGGAGGTCCCGCCTGCACCCGCAGCGTGCCTCCTCCTCCTCCTCCTCCTCCTCCGCCTCCTCCTGCTCCTCCTCCTCCTCCTCCTCCTCCCCCTCCCCCTCCTCCTCTCCTCCTCCTCCTCCTCCTCCTCCTCCTCCTCCTCCTCCTCCTCCTCCTCTCCTCCTCCTCCCTCCTCCCTCCTCCCTCCTCCCTCCTCCCTCCTCCCTCCTCCCTCCCCCTTCCTCCTCCTCCTCCCTCCTCCTCCTCCTCCTCCTCCTCCTCCTCCTCCTCCTCCTCCTCCTCCTCCTGCTCCTCCTCCCCCCCGCGACCATGCAGCATGGGTGAGAACGCACGCGCAGTGGAGGCCAGTCCCCAAGAAGCCTTCCACAAGAAACCCAACCCTGAGCCCCCAGGACGTCCAGTGTGTTTTTTGCGTGGTAGCGTCACGCTGTCCATCGCGAAACCATCGAAGCCCAAGCAACCCAGGGCACCATGGAGGCAAGCAGGGTGCTTCCTGGCATGGGTCTCCACTGTAAAATTGTACACACAAGGACACAGCGTCAGACAATGCAACATGGGGTGAGCGCACGTAGCTGAGAGAACAGCCTCGCGCATGCAACCATACACTTTCTTTCGTCGGCGGCGAGGCAGAGGCAGTCCGCTCCAGCGTGTGGCGATCCGGGGCAACCGAAGGGTGAATTGTCCGGCGTGCAAGAGGAAAGACGACGAGGGCGGCCGCGCGGGGGGAGGAGGGGGGGTAACAGTACACATAAGGACACAGCGTCAGACGGTGCAACGTGGGTGAGAGCGCAAGAAGCTGAGAGAACAGCATCGCGCATGCACACATGCACATGCAGACGCCTTGGAGGGGCCCCCATCGACCTCTGGGGCGGCCCCACATCTGCAGCCTCGGTGGAGGCACCACAGGCCGCTGTGGTGTTCCCACCCCGTGTGGACGCATTGCCGCGTCGAGTCGCCCGCCCTCTTTGCCGACATCACGGATCGGGGAAGGGTGATGAGGACAAGGAGGAGGATAATGAAGAAGGGAGAAGGATAATAAAGAAGATCGCACCAACATAAGAGGACGACCAGCTAGAATCGCGTGACTTTCTGAGAGCGTGGACTTGAGCTCGCTCGAACTTCGCTCTGCAAGGGGGGGGGAGGGGGGACGACATTCCCGGAGGCGGGGGGGGCCACACCATTAAGGGGGAAGGGTTGGGTGGGGGGGGGGCGCCATTCCGGGCGCCATCCGGGGGCCAACGCCGTTACGGGGATGGGGCTGGGGGGGGACGCCATTCTCGACGCCATTCCCGACGCATTTAATGCTCGGGGGCGGGGGGCCCACACAATTCCCGACGCCGCTCCGACGCTCTGACCATAGAGGGTGAGGGGGCCGACGCCATTCTAAACGCCATTCCAGAAGCATGTCGTGCTCGCAAGACGCCTCCAAGACGCCCCAATAGGTACCCAACCATCTGCGAAGAGAGACCCACGAGTTTCAAATCGTCCAATACCTATGGGAAAACGTACATTTTTACCTTATGCGACATTTCGGCCTTCACGACGTTGTCGACGGTCCCAGAGGCCCCCGAGACCGCGTCAAGACGGCTCAAGAGGCTCCCAAGACGACCCCAAAACGGCCCAGTAGGGCGCCAAAACGGCCCAAGAAGCGCCCAAGCCGGCTCAAGAGGGCTCCAAGACGGCCCCTGGAGAGGCCCAAGAGGGGGAGCCCGGGGAGCCCGAACCGAACATCCCAGCCTTTCCCCTCACGAGGTTCCCAAGAGGTTCCAAGAAGCCCCCGAAAGGCCCCAACAGGCCCCCAAGAGGCCCCCAGGAGGCCCCCGAAGGCCCCCAAGAGGCCCGAAAGAGGCCCCATGAGGCTCCAAAACGAACCCCAAGAGGCTTCCCCAGGTCCCTTGCTCAATCACCTGAGCCTCAGTCCTCAAGCCTGGGGATTCTTAATGGGCCCGAGGCCCCAAGCTCTCAAATCTCTGGGGGCTCTCCGCGCGCCCTCTGGGGCCCCCCAGAATTTTCCCGCATGAATTGTTCGGGCCAAGAGAGGCCCAAGACTGGCCAACAGGGCCCCAAGAGTCCCTCAAGACGGCCCAAGAAAGCTCCGAATAACCGAACGATCGGTCCAAGACGCCCAAGGTGGCTCCAAGACGGCCCGAGAAGCTTTCGAGACGCCCCAGGAGCCCCACGAGCCTCTCCAAGAGGGCCCCGAGAGGCAGCACACACGCATTCCATCTGAATTGTTCAACCTTCCGACGTTCCTTGCTCTCACTTTCACGTCCTCCCGTCCGCACCCCCTCGTCGACGCAAGGCAGAAGCCTCTCGGAGGCCTCCCTAGCTTCTCGGACGCCTCTCGGAAACATCGCTGAAACTTATCGGACACCTCAATCGTGTCCCACAGAAATCCGCAAACGTGAACTCGAGGCACGAGCTGGAGTGTCCCCATGTCCCTTGCCGCGTCCTCTAGGTCCCTTGCTCCATTCCCTACTCCATTCTCCTCCTCCTCCTCCTCCTCCTCCTCCTTCTCCTGCTCCGCCTCCTCCTTCTCCTGCTCCTCCTCCTCTCCCTCCTCCTTCCTCTCTCCTCCTCCTCCTCCTCCTCCTCCTCCTCCTCCTCCTCCTCCTCCTCCTCCTCCTCCTCCTCCTTCACATCTGCATCCTCCCTCGTCCCTCCCTCGCTCCCCTCCTCCCCTCCTCCTGTCTCCCTCCACCCTCCTCCCTCATCCCCCCTACCCCTTGCCTCCTCCTTCCTCCCTCCTCCCTCGGCCTCCCTCCTCCATCCTCTCCCTCCCTCCTCACAAGAGCCAAAAACAACTCCAGGATGGCCCCTATGAGCCCCATAAGATGTGGAATCGGAAGACGCAGCAGCTTCATCATAACCGTCGTCATCAACATCCCCACCACCATCACCATGGTCAACGTCATCAGTATCATCATCAGCAGCATCATCATCAGCATCATCATCAACAACATCAGCATCATCAACAACCTCACCATCACCATCAACGTTCTCACCAACTGCACCACCCTTAATACACTGAGAATACACACCAACAATATAAACACCACCGTCATCAAGATCAGCATCATTGTGGGCACACCGCTATCATCATCACAACCACCATCACCATCACCAGCAGCACAATCCTGATTATCGTCGTCGTCATCACCATCTTCATACGCTTCACCAAGGCCAGTACCATGATAAACATCATCATAACCATCATCATCATCATGATGATGGTCATCATCATCATCATCATCATCATCATCATCATCACCAGCATCAACATCACCATCACCACAATCCTCATCATCACCATCAACATCAACATCACCCATCACCATCATCATCACCATCATCATCATCATCATCATCATCACCACCACCATCATCATCATCATCATCATCATCATCATCATCATCATCATCATCATCATCATCATCATCATCGTCAACATCATCATCATCATTATCATCATCATCATCATCATCATCATCATCATCATGCTCTGGAGCGCCCCGGATCGGCGGCACTGGCCGGAGGCCAGCACAATAAGAGGACGACCAGCTAGAAATGCAACACATCAACAACACATTGGCTCAGACTGTCCTCCAACGGAAAGAAAAGCTTCTCAAGTGCGCTCGAACCGTGCAGGGCGAGGGATACAATTCAAGTCGGGGTTGCACAACCCATTGAACGACTCCTGTCCAACAGAGTCGACACCCTCTTAATCGTACAGCCGGGTCCAACCATAAGGACGCAGGTTGAGGATGTAAGACCCTTGGACGTCCAAGTTGCACCATTTGGCCAGCAGCACTGGTTGGCTAAGGCCTAAACATCGAGGATGCAAGGTACCCTGGGCAAAGCACCTCGTCCTTAGGGGGGGGGTCCAACTGCACAGCCAGCGGCCGCTGGCCAGAGCTGCCACCACCACGTCCTCGCATAATTGGGGAAAGTGCGAATCAGCGATGCACCACCCACTGCGAAACGATTCGATACTCTGCCCTGTCGCATTGCACGGTGCGGGGTTGGGCGGGGCTCCGCTGTCCCAGGGGTGAAGGAATGGCTCTGGTGAATGAAATCCTCCGGCCCCCTTGTGGGGCCACCAGGCTGTAGGACGAGGGTTTGCTGTTCCCTGCGCCAGTTCCAGTTTCCAGTTTCCACTGTTACAGTTCTGCTTCTTGTTGTATTATTGTTCCTTGTTGTAGACCGCGCGAGGGGGGGGAGCCGAAAAGTGCCCTGGTTAGCATCTTCTGGGAGGGTTGTCAAAATTTCTGGGGGCTCGAAATTGACACCCCTCATGCAGATCGCCGGGGTCAGGGTCCGAAGCCACATGGGATTTCACATTTCTAAAATTCGGCGGCACCCCTCACGCAGATTGGCGGAGTCAGGGTCGAAAAACCAATGGGATTTGCCAAATTTCTTAAATTCGGCGGCACCCCTCACGCAGATCGGCGGGGCCCGGGTCGAAAAACCCATGGGATTTGCCACATTTTTGAAATTCGGCGGCACCCCTCACGCAGATCGCCGGGGTCAGGGTCGAAAAACCCATGAGATTTATTACATGTTTGAAATTCGGCGGCACCCCTCACGCAGATCGGCGGAGTCAGGGTCGAAAAACCGATGAGATTTGTTACATATCTAACTTTCTGTGGGAAACCTAAATGCACAGCATACGGAAGCAGGTTCAAAATGCAACACTAAGCTCAACAATATCATCAGAATCTGAATTTCTCTTGCCGATGCTGCTTCACGGCGGCGCCGAGGCCTCATGATTTAGCTCTTGGATAGCCCATGATCCGAGAGAGGGGGGCGCCGGCAGGGGGCGAAGTCCTGACGGACAAAGACGCAGGTGCGATGGTGATCCATGCGTCGTTCCTACTGCTGGCCACTGCCTGTCATACAGGCGAGAAGGAGAAGGCAAGGAACGACCCACTGATCCCCAGAACGGCGCGTCGGGCGCGTTACTCTCACTGGTGTCCGCAAGCGGAGAGGGCACGCTTGCTGGGCCGCTTGTGCCATCAGGCACGTCGACGCACACATCGATTCTTTACTGCAGCAGAGGCTGGAGGTACCCTCTACGAGCCTCGCCATCACTAACGATGCAAAGTCGAAGTCGCGCGTCGCGCAGCTGGGAACTTGCCCTCACCCTCCAGAGTTGAGGTCGCCGCATAAAGGTGCGCTGGCGGAGACTATTTAGCCAAGAGCCTGGCGCGCACGTCAACTTTGAAGGGGCGGCCCACAAAATAATGCCCAGTGTGCGCCTCTCTCAACTTTGAAGGCCCCCTTCAACGATGACGCGTCGTCTGGAGCCACCAAGCGGCGCCGCGTCTACTGCGACGAAACTTGCAGCTCGCCTCCCCCCCCCGGCTTGTAGATCTGCCCGAACTGCTCGCGACGCCCAAGCAGGGTACCAAGGCTGCAATGAGGAGGCACTGCACCAGCACCCTGTGTCGGTGCCGACATCACCTTGGCGCACGAGATCAACGGCAACGATAGCAACGATCACAACGATAACAGCGATAACAACGATCACAACGATATCGTTGTAATCGTTGCTATCGTTGTCGTTGTTATCGTTGTGGTCGATGTGATCGTTGTTACCGTTATGACCGCTATCGTTGCTATCGCTGTTATCTTTGTTATCGTTGCCGTCTGAGGCCACGCCAGCTCACTCCTGCCCCCACGGCCGCGGATCACGGCAGGGACCCTGGCGCCGGCGCCGACGGCCCTCCTCGGAGGGAGGAGGGAGGAGACGGAAATGGGGAAAAACCAAAAAAACAAAGGAAAGAGATGGAGGGAGGAGATGGAGATGGGGAGGAGGGAGGAGATGGAGATGGGGAGGAGATGGAGATGGAGATGGGGGAAACCAGAGCAGGAAGCTCGAGGAGGCGGGGCGAGGAGCGCAGGGGGCCCCGTTGCGCGGCAGGGCACGGAAGGGCAAGGAAGGGAGGCAGAGGGCGGGCAGACGCCGGGTGCGGCCTGCGGTGTTCACCCCCTTCACCAGCTGCCCGTCGTTCTGGAACTCGTTCCTGCCCCGCGGCGTCGGCGCGGGCCCACGGCACGCTGGCCCAGAATGCACGAGTCACTAGCCCCCCAGCGCGCCGGAACTGGACGCCGGCGGTGAACCGTCCACCAGGTTACCGCCGGGACCTCGTAGAGCTCTCAACACACAAAATCAGTGCCCAGATAACGAGAAGAGAGCGTTCTCGAATGTCAACTCGAAAACTCGCAAAATGCAGCCCCGCGCCGCTCGGAGCGAACGGGCAGCGCCTGTGCGTCACGGGGCTGCTTGGTGCGTCTGGGGCTGCCTGGGGCGTCGGCGCAGGCCTCAGCAAGGGGTGCGTGCCGACCCCCCCTCCCTGGAGTGAATCGAACTCTGTACGCCGACGCTGCTTCCGGCCCTGCACTGAAACATCTTCAAATAGAAAAGCGGATCCTGGTGCACACGGGATCCAGGTGTATACGTTTCTCGCTGTTTCCCCGGGAAAACGGGGAAACACGCATACACCACACCACCCCCGACGTCGTCCCCGACCCTCCAAGAGCCCAGGGATTGAAGAAAAGGCCCGCCGCTGGTAGTGTGCATGCTCCAGTTTTCGACCCTGGGCCCGGCGGAGGACGGGACAGAGTCCCAGGAGCGCCCGACGCCGCACACTGGAAATCGAGTGTACATTTGGGCCTTCGGGTTGGATTGGGGTGGCTTGGTGGTTTGGTGGACTTCCCTGGGACAAGCCCTTCGTCCCTGGATCGTCCTCCCACGGCCCTGGGGCCCCGTGAGCTTGCCACCGCTCGGACGTCCATGCCTCGTGCATGTCTCGGCGTCGCGCGCTTCTTGCTCTGCAGAGTGAGCCGAGATGCTCCTCGATGGCCCTCGCAGGGAAGACATAGCGCGCACCTCCGAGCGATGCCAAGTAAGTGCCCCCTGGGGCAGATTGTGTGTATGCTCACGCTGCTTCCTCTTATAAGCCAGATGTCCGCCTGGAGTTGTTTTACAACGCGAAGGGGTCTGCAGGGGGGCTGGGGTCTGCCGGCGGCGCTGAGCTCCACTTCTTCCCCTCTCCCACAACATCCTGTCGCCCTCCGCCACCCCACCTTGTTCATACCCCTACCATCTTCTTCCTCCCTCCCGCACCCTTTTGCCCCCTTCTCTGTCTCACCAACACTCTGTTTCCCCTGGCGCCCCTTTCTTTTTCCCTGCGAAGCCCCCCTTGCTTCCCTTGCTGCAGACGACCGAAAACTCGGGAGCCTGTTGGAGGTCTCTTGGAACACTCTGGGGCGTCTTGTGGCCATCCTGGGAAGGGGGCGGGGAGCCCGGGCGGTCTTGCGGTGGCGCGTCATTTTGCCCCAGCTCGGGGCCGTCCAGGACGCCTCTTCGGCCCCCCCGGGCGCCTCGGACAGGCAGAAGGACGGACAGACAGACAGACCACCGCAGTGGCCAGATCAGGGGAACAAAAAGTGACATAAACATAAAAACTCAGAGGTCCGCGCGGATTTCTCCAGGGGGGTCCAGCGCGGATCCGAGAAATCCGCGCGGACCTTAGAGTTTTTATGTTTATGTCACTTTTTATTCCCTCACAGATGTCCGGGCCGACTTCAGGCCGGGTGGGCGAGGCCGTGGCCCCCAACTCTGGATGGAAACCTCGAGCACGCATCGGCAGGAGGCGTCGGCAGCAGCCGTGAGGCGTCCACGCGCTCGGGTCGAGGCAGGACCTTCGTGCTCCGAGGGTGCTCCGCCGTCCGCGCCGGCACGCGGGGCGGCCCTGCCTGGAGGGGAGCCTCCCAGGGTGCGGCAGGGAGAAATTATTTATAAGGAAGAGGAACGAGGGTGCGACTTGCCTCGGGGTGCGGCAGGGAGACATTATTTATAAGGAAGAGGAACGAGGGTGCGACTTGCCTCGGGGTGCGGCAGGGAGAAATCATTTATAAGGAAGAGGAGCGGAGGAGGAGGAGGAGGAGCAGGAGGAGGAGGAAGAGGAGGGGGAAGAGGAGGAGGAGCAGGAGGAGCAGGAGGAGGAGGAGGACCAGTGTAAACCCAAGAATCATCAACGATGCTGGAGTAAACCCTCCCTCCAAACTCCCTCGTCAAAGGCAACTTACAACGGTTCATTTCCACTGAGGGAACCAACTGCCTCGTGGAAGACAACCGTTTGAAGACCCTGAAGCATGCCAAAACATTGTTCTCGGGATTCCAACGTCACGGGTCAACCAGATTATTGCATCTTGACGATCCTGAATCGTGCCAGGACGCCATTCCTTGGACTTCAACGCCGAGAATCAACGTAACTGTTGCACCCGCATAATCCAGAATACTTCCAAAACGCCATTCTGGTACGCTGATTATGCACACCCATGAAACTCTTGCAGATGTTGTGCACGAATGTGCGCGGCGCTGAGGCGAGAGCCAAGTTTTGAAAAGGAACCGCCCTCAAGCTGCGAAACTCTTGCAATGTTTAACAACGAATGTGCGCCGCGCTAAATCGAGAGCTACGTTTTGAACACCACCCGCCCTCAATCCGTGAACCTCTTGTAGATTTGTACAACGAATGTGCGACGCGCTAGCGCGAGAGCCACGTTTTGAAAACGACTCGCCCTGAATCCATGAAACTCTTGTAAATGTTTGAGACGAATGTGCGCCGCGCTAAAGCGACGGCCACATTTCGAAAACCACCCGCCCTCAATCCGTGAAGCTCTTGCAAATCTTTACAACGAATGCGCGCCGCGCTAAGGCGAGAGCTACGTTTTGAAACCACCCGCCCTCAAGCCATGAAACTCTTGCAATTGTTTTAAACGAATGTACGCCGCGCTAAAACGAGAGCCACATTTCGAAAACCACCCGCCCTCCATCTGCAAAACTGTTCCCAAATTGTAAGCTTCAGAATCGTACGTGGTGAGGAAATCTCAGGCGAAACGCCAGGCCCGCCCTAAAAACTTGCCTCGGGATGCGGCAGGGGGAAATTATCTTTAAGGAAGAGGAACGGGAGGAGGAGGAGGAGGAGGAGGAGGAGGAGGAGGGGGGGAGGAGGGGGAGGAGGAGGGGGAGGAGGAGGAGGGGCAGGAGCAGCGGTGGGCTAAAGGAGGAGGGGCAGGAGGAGGAGAAGGAGGAGGAGGAGGAGGAGGAGGAGGAGGAGGAGGGGCAGGAGGAGGAGGAGGAGGAGAAGGAGGAGGAGGAGGGAGGTCAGGTGGCAGGTGGGAGGAGGAGGGGCTCTCAAGCTCTGGGTGTCGATGTCGGCGCGCGGTGCTCTGGGCTGGTGCCGTGTGCGGTCGGGGTCGCTGCCCGCGTCCTCGTGCGCGATCCCGGGAGCCTCGGGGCTTTCTCGGGGCGATCCCGCGGGCAGGCCTGCGACTCGACCCTCGGGGGCGTGGTGGGGCCATCCTGGGGAGGGGGGGAGGTCCAGGAGGTTTTCCGCGGCGAGCGAGGGGGGGAATCAGGAGGAGGCCTTCTCAAGAGCCGCCGGTCTCCTTAGAAGCCCTCGCGCCTTCCGAGAAGTCTGTTCTGTCTTCGGGGAAGGCCTAGAAAACTTCTCAGAAGGCCAGGGGACTTCCGAACCTTCTGAGAAGGCATTCTCCTTCTCACTTCCCCCCTCGCTCGCCGCCGAAGTCTTGCGGTGCCGCGTCATCTTGCTCCCGCTCGGGGCCGTTCCGGAAGTTTCCTGGGCCCTCCGGGGAACCTCGCGACCGTCGTGGGGTCAGCCTGGGCCAGGCGCCCGCACTCGTCGATCTGGGGCCGGCCCGACGTCTGGCCTGCCAGCCGCCTGAAGGCCTCGGCTGGCTGGCGGCCCCCCGAGGGTGCCGCGGAGGCAAGCAGGTACGGCAAGCGGGTGCCGCGGCGGCGCCGGCGTTGGTTTCTGGCACGGCGGGCGTCGCTCCACCGTGGAAGATCGCGACTCTCCGACGTCGCGGGTCGTTCGGTGCAGGCCTCGGAAGCATGCCACACTCATCGGTCAACGCCTCCCCCTCCTCCTCCTCCTCCTCCTCCTCCTCCTCCTCCTCCCCCTCCTCCTCCTCCTCCTCCTCCCCCTCCTCCTCCTCCTCCTCCTCCTCCTCCTCCCCCTCCTCCTCCTCCTCCCCGTCACAGTCAATGTTCAAGTTTGGTGGTGGGTCTGATGAGTCGCACTTCGACCGCAGTCTCCCCCGCGCGTGCCAGCTTGGAGTTCGGGGGAGCGGGGGAGTGTCCACGAATTGCTTCCCCCTGCCGTATCAGCAGGTCCTGGAACACTGGCGGCGTTCCACCTGGGGCGGCCGCGTCAGGGTCGCCCCGCCGCATCAACGCGGCGAGGACCTACCATGCCAGCAGCTCTTGCCAGAAGGCTCGCACGAAGAGCTCGACGCCACATGGGGCCAGCAGTCACCAGAGATACGAAACAGCCAGGCCGACACGAGAGCGCCGACCTCCCTGGCCCAGAATCAAAGGGGAGCCTCCCTCGGACCACGCTAGCTAGCCCCAACTCGACAACGCCGCGCAATGACCAAAACGATCGCAGGTCGCCGCGGCCATAAAAGAGGAAAGTTTGGGCGACCCTGTTGGGAACCGGAAGCGTTGGGGACCCTGTTGGGAACTGTGTTGCGTCGGCGGCAAGGCAGAGGGTGACTGCGCTGGCGAGGAGAGGCTGAAAACGGGATGCGGTTGGAGCGAATCGTGCCGCCATGCAAGCGGAGGAGGGAGGCAGGAGGCGGCCGAAGGAAACGAGGGCGGGGCGAGCGGCTCAGGGGTCAGAGCGCTCCCCGAGCGTGTGGCGCGACCCTGCTGGAAACAGAAAGGTCCCCGGCCGCCCCTGTGGGCCCCTGGATCGGGCCGAACCCGGCGCGACCCCACGGAGCTCCGACCGCGGCACCTCCGGTGTGACCCCGATCGGCACCAGAGCGCTCCCGCCCGCGCCCCCTGTGGGTGTGCTCGTCGCCCGTGGGCCGCCATCTGGCCAGAAGCTTGCTTGCCCCTCCTCCTCCTCCTCCTCCTCCTCCTCCTCCTCCTCCTCCTCCTCCTCGTCCTCCCCCCCTCCCCCTCCCCCTCCCCCTCCGCCTCCGCCTCCCCCTCCCTCCCAGGCCGCCGCTCCTGTGCCAGTTCAGGCAGAACTTGATGTCCACCCCCTCCGCGCCCTGCCGCTTCATCTCCGCTGCGACGGCGTCCTGCTTGATGTTCCACCGGAGACCTCTGCGCGCGCGCCCCAAGAGGGCGAGCGGCCTCCCGGCGCTTATTCCCATTGGGCATCTCGGCGCCCCTCTCGGCGCAGTGAGGTGTGGCCTCTTGGAACCCTGCGGGGGCACTTCTGGGAGGCATCCCACCACACCCCTGAGGAAAAACGTGACCAAAGTGGCCATGGGTTTCAGGGAACGCTTCGGGGTCAAGTTGGAGTCTCATAGGACTGCCTGGCCATGGGGCCATCTTCTCGTAACGGCGCCCCGCCCACCCCCCACCCTCAGAGGGGGAGGGGGAGGAGGGCGGCTGCCGAATCGATCCGTCAAGCTGTTCTTGAGAGGGTTGTAGGGGACGCTCTAGGGGTCCCATCTGGGCCCTCTTCGACTTTCTTTGGTGGCCTCATTTGGGGACCACCCCCCATCCAAATTGGAGAGGGGAGGAGAATAGACAGCATAAAGTGCTCGCGACGCGTCTGGCGTTTAGGTTACGGGCAGAACATACTGTGAGCGAATTCAGAAAGAAAGGTGCGGGGAAACGAAATCACTGAAATGGAACCACAATTAAACAGCTTCGGGCGATCCCCACCAAGGACATGATGCGAGTGGTTTCGACGTGTGTTCAGTGTGATTCCATAGATGAGGTGTTTGATGGTATGCCCACATGTCGTGTCAAGCGTGTGCCCGTGATCGTTACCAAGAGGATTGCTAATACGTGTTGATGGTATTTGAGGGCATTCCTACATGTTCGGTCTATCAAACCTTGCGGGGGTCATTCGGATTCCGATCGTGTTGTCAAGTATTATCATCATGACGCCCATTGTGCGTAGTCGTCGTACCCGTAACGACATGTGTCATTGATGGCAACTGTTGGTGTATGGTATGGATGCATGTTATTGGTGTATGGCCATCGCGTATATGATGGCTTTTGCTGCTGATGTGCAATATATATGGATGTCCTGGATGCGTCCCCATGGTGTTGAGATACGCCTATACGCAGGATATGTTTGTATAGTGTGTGACGTGATTTCTGGATAGCTGGTCTTGGTGTGTGTGTGTGTTTGGTTGGTGCGTGGAACTACTGTGCATTGCCGATTCATGGTGTTCACGTGTGGTGGTGCCACTTTCTGAATCCGATTCCCGTATATCCTTGGTACCTGCCGCTGATGTGCGTTCTACGTGTATGCTGGTGATGGGATCTATGTGTGCTAATAGTACTTGTTGTCCCCAACGTCTCTCCTTCACCTTTGCTCTATGTGTCAGTGGACGGCATGACGCCGTTACGCCTGCCATGTTGATATTGATGTCTGTCCTTGATGTTGGGTAGACTGGCGGGAGAGTGGGGATACTCAGGATTATCTTGGGCCTGGCGGCCGCTGTATGCAGAGGCGGCGGGCGGGATACTCGGGAGTCCTGGGCCTGGCGGCCACGGCATGCTGGGCTGGCGTGTTGGCTGTTTCTTTCATCTGACAGTCCCAACCTGTCAGATGGGGAACAATGCTTAGGTTGAGGCATGTATCCAACCAGCTCTAAGTCGCTCCGCGGGTGATGACCCGATAACGGACTGCTCTATATATATAGTATGTACACGTATATTTCTACATGCGTGACTATCGATTTAGTTATATCTGTATATATACACATTACGTATGTGCATGTGTATGTACCTCTAAGTGTGTGTATGCATCATGTCGATATCACTTTCAATCGGACTGTGAGCCCTCAAAACCCATCAACGTACCGCTCTCACAGGTCCCTGTCGCCGGCGCCCCCCGCCGAAGATTTGGGAGGCCTGTCCAACAGCTAGTTTGAGGGGCAGGGCCGCCCTTATCACACCAAGGATGGGGGGGGGGCGATCTGGGCTTGGTCAGGGCGATCGCGGGGGACCCCGAACCAATCCCGGGGAACTCCCTGTCTGGCTAGGGCTCCCCCCCAAAGCAGCCCTTCCTGGCGGCGTCCGAAGCGGCTCCGTCTGGCCCGGCATCGAGAAGCACCTCACGTATCTTCGTGGGCAAATGTCGTCTGCTTTCTGGGCGCTCCCGTCAATACGATCGTTCGCTGGAGCGGCTACAGCCAGGAACATCTGTGCCAGGACGGCAAGGACCTTGTCATGGCGCTGCAAGGCCAGAACAAGATGGCGACGCATGGGAGTATCGATCAGAAAACGTAGAGACCTGGATGCCTCATACGGAGCCACCCGATGCTCACGATAGCTTCTGGTTCACGACCAGTGTCCTCGCGACGCGGTTTCAACCTCTCTCTGTTGATTTGTCCAGCCAGCATGCCTGCCACCAGTCTTTCTGTTTCAGTCTGTGAAGCCCACGGGCCGCATTTCCTCAGCCCGTGCGAGGAAGCTTCTTCCATGGAGGCCCGCGGTTGGTGCTGGACCTACTCCACGGTGTCCCGCTATGCTGAGTCCTGCCCTGATCCAAGCGGGGCGCTCCAGACATTGAGCAGGGACGGACCGTCCCAGCATTCCTACAGGCCTACCACGACATGTTCTCAGAACCCCAAAAAAGTTCTAAGAGGAAAGACAGTGTGAATAAAACGTCGGCCCGATGTGTTAAAACATGACAGCATCAGCCAGACATGATCTAAGAACAGAACATCTCGTGCAAACCACGAACGGTTCTTAGAACATTCCTGGGAGGGCCTCAAGGCAAGCCAGGACGCTTCGCCACTGGTCGAAGATATGGCCTCGCCTTCGGAGGGTCGACAGATCGACTTCGCGCCCCCGGCGGAAGCCGGTGGACGGGGGGAAGGCGGGCTGCTGGCGTAAGGCTGGCGGAAACAAAAAGGGCTTTTTGGCTTCAGGGGAACGGGAGGGGAGGAGGAGGAGGAGGAGGAGGAGGAGGAGGAGGAGGAGGAGGAGGGACTCAGCAGGAGGAGGAGGAGGAGGAGGAGGAGGAGGAGAAGGAGGGACTGAGAAGGAGGAGGAGGAGGAGCAGGATGAGGGACTGAGGAGGAGGAGGAGGAGGAGGAGGAGGAGGAGGAGGGACTGAGGAGAAGGAGGAGGAGATGGAAATGTAGACGGAGGGGGGCCGTGCCCTTCTTGGCTTCAGGGTTTCCGGAGCGGGCGAGGCTGAACCGGCCGCTCCGCGCCCGCGGCCGCCCGGAGCGCGGAGCCCGTGCCCACGCCGAGGCACCGTCCTGCCGGCAGGGCGGCAGACGGCCCCGGCAGGGGCGCGGCTCGCCGGGGGGCCTCGTCGCGGGAGCCTCCGCGCGAGCCTTCTGCGACTCGCGGAGCCCGTCGCCTCCGAGGCCCACGCGCGCACGTCGATGCACAGTTCCGGCGGGCCGCCTCCCAGGGGGCCTCGGCGCGGGGGCTGGCGCGAACTTTTGGCGATTCGACGAGGGGCCGCCAGAGTGGTCCGCAGGGGGGGGCACGGTCTTCAGCGGCTGCAGGACCGAGAGCGCTTGCGCCAGGGCCACCATGTCGTCGGCGCATGCCGACGCCAGCCTAGACAAGCGCGGTCCACGACTCGCAGAATAACTACTCGCAAAGGGCCCGGATCCGCCGTGGGGGATTTACGCTCCACTCTGGAGCTCTGCGAGTCGTGGAGCGCGCTCGGTGACGGCCCCTCCGTCGGCGCCGGCAGCATCTCGGCGACAGCGCGGCGGATCACGCCCAGCGCCGCGGCTCACAGGTCGCGCCCGAGGACGGGCAGCACCGCAGAGTCCTCCCCGGGGCCGAGGGGGACACGAAGAGGGGCCGCCCTTCCAGCTCGGCTCCGCGGCGCCGCGCCATCGATCGCCAGGAAGGGAGGCAGCGCCGGGTGATGACCCCCCCCAAAAAAACCCGAACCCTGTGGGAGTGGTCCTCAGACAGGAGAGCCAAAAAGCTTCAGGGATAGAGGGTCTCTTCTGCAGATGTATCAGACCAAACCACCCAGACTTATGATTCTCAACGCAAGGACAGGGACCTCAGTGCACCTGCGCAGGCCAGCCCGCGAGCCGCGCCACCGCGTCCATGACAGCGGCGTCGTGGCAAAAGCCAAAATCCCCCCCCCGATAAGCCCCTGCCACGACGGCTTCTCGTGACGCGGGTTTTCTCCTCGACGCGGCGCCGCGCGACCTGGTCCAGGGCCGCCGCGAGAGGACCTCGGCGCACGTGCCGTCGCGGCCTTCCGCGCGCAGCTCGCCAGGGCGCCAGGCCCGTCGCTCTCGGTGGCGAAGGGGGACGGGAGGGCGTGCACCCGCGCGGCGCAACTCCGATGGCGCGGATGTCCCGGGGGAGCTCCCCCCCGGCGCTCCCGCTGCGCCTGGGACGTCAGCCCGCGCTCGGCAAGGCAGAGGTCCTCATCTTCGACGTTCCAGATCCATCAGGTGCCGCCGCTCGTCAATGCTTCAACAGACTCCCGCCCGCTTCTGTCTGGGTCCGCCCACGGGACCGCTCCCCTTGGCGGGTCCGCGCTACAGGCTCTTCGCTCTGGCTGCAGCGACGGCGGCCTGCAGCACCTCGGCTGTGGGCGCTGCTGCCGCTGACTGCTGGTGCTGTGCTCCTGGGGGGCGGCAGGTGACACTGAGCCTGCTGAGCCCCCTCCTGCACTGGCTCCAGCCCAGCGCCCGCATCGGTAGGAGGAGCAGAAGCGCCCACAGGAGTCGCCGACCCCTCCCCGCTGGAAACGGACGCCGCGTCATCCTTGCGGGCACGCTTGGCAGCCAAACGCTGGCGCATCGCCCTGGCCTCAGCACGGAGCTTCTGGATTTTCTCTGCACTTTGCCCAATGGCCGCCACGATGGCCTTCTGGAGCTCCTTGGCAAAGTTGCCCTTGAATTCCAGCCACTTGTTCCGCTCAACTTCCGCCACCTCCAGTCCGCTGAGGTCGAGGATGTCTCCGTCAACGATCTCCAGCGCGTCAAAGCCGCTCCCATCCGCGAGCAGCTGCGACAAGTTGATTTGCGACCCTGCCGGCACATGCGTCGCCCCCGGTACAGTTGTGCCTGGCGCCACACGCTGGAGCCCCGCCTTGAACTCAGCCTACCACTCTGCCTTGGCCAGCACCGCCGCTTGAGCCGCCGCCGCCGCCTCTTTGCTGCAGTCCTCAAGCCAGCGCCTCGCCTCGCCCTCCTGCTGCACCGCCTGCTCGAGCGCCTTCTCCGCCCTGCGACCCGCAACCCCCTTCGCGCTGCTGGTCTCCTCCGGCAGCGGCTGCCGAGGCGCCGCCGCTGGCTCCGGTGCCACCGCCTGCAAGAGGGCCTGGAGCTCCAGGGCCCCTGCGTCCTCGCCGACGCGCTGCTGGAGCTGCTCCAGGAGCTTGGCGACCGAGGAAGTGCCCGTGCCGCGCTGCGGCGGCGTCGACGGCTTGGGTGTCGCTGGATGTCGCTGCGCTGTCGCTGTCGCTGCCACTGGTCCTGACCTCCTGACTCCGACCACACTCCCCGGGTCTTCCGCCACGGCGGTTGGACTGCTGAGACGACGGCAGCGCTGCACGAGTAGCACTCAGACCTTGATTTTCAGTTCCATCGGTAGCGACAGCTCGTGCAGGAGAGGAACGTCGCATTCTTGCCCATGGACTCCGCTGGGAGCTCACAAAAACGCGAAACGCGCCAGTGGGGCACAACGTACTGTATTGGAGTACCCCTGAACGCGCGGCCCAGGGATCGCTGGTGGGGGCGCAACTCCCCCTTGCCACCTCAAGTCGCTGAGCCTCCTGCTGCGGACTTGAGCCAAAATCGCTACGGAGGAGGAGGAGGAGCGATGAGGAGAGGAGGAGGAGGAGGAGGAGGAGGAGGAGGAGGAGGAGGAGGAAAAGCGATCAGGAGGAGGAGAGGGAGGAGAAGGGAGGGGCGCGGCGTGCGCGTGGAGATGCTGCTCAAAACGAGGACCTCTCAGCACAGCAGGGCCAGGAGCGAGGAGGCCCGGGAGCGAGGGTCCCCGGGAATGACCTACAGCAGCGGGACGGCCCAGTCCTCGCCTGTCGCTCCAGCACGCATCGCCGCTGCCAGGCCACTCTGCTGCATACGCTTCGTGTCAGCCTCGACGCACAGCCTGGCAGGACACATCGACTGCAGGGCAGCGCCTCTCACCTGACCTCTCGAGGATGAGGCTCTTGACCTCGTGGGCATCGGGCTGTTGTGCAGCACGTATCTTCTGACCTCTTGCGCATCAGGCTGTGAAGCCTGCTCATCACGGCTGCAGCTTGAAGGGGGGAACGACAGAACAAGTCCTCGCCTGTCGATGCAGCAGCGGCGGCAGCCTCCCGAGGGAGGCGGATCGCGGCAGCAACGGAGGGGCCTCCGCGCAGTGCCGCCCAACGACGGCGGAGGAGGCGTTCGGTGAGGAGATCCGCAGCGCTGCGGAGAGGAGGCAGGGACCCAGCAATGTTCGGCGGCGAGCGAGGGGGGGAAGTGAGAAGGAGACGGCCTTGTCAGAAGGCTCGGAGGTCCCCCGGACTTCTGAAAAGTTGTCTCAGCCTTCCCCGAAGACCAACAACTTCTTATAAGGCGCGAGGGCTTCTGAGAAGCCCCGCCGCCTTCTGAGAAGGCCTTCTCCTTCTCATTTCCCCCCCTCGCTCGCCGCCGAAATCAGCAACCACTGACTCCTACCCCTGCAGCGGCTGGGGCTCAGAAACCGAAGGATGTCTGCAGCCAGTTGTGCCCCAGCGGGGGTGTCCAAGCATCGATTGGACCTGCAGGGGTAGACTTCGCCAGTGGCCGACGAAACAAGACAGTAGGGTTGGAACAGACAGCCAACACAATATGTTCAAGACTTGGGGCCTCGCAACTCTCTGCAACGCTCCCAAGCGAGCAAGCCGGTTTTCACCACCAGCGCGCCTTGCAGAGGGCACTTGGGCGTCATGATGCGCGCATCTGGCGGCCATGACGCCTGCGGGGGCAGGAGCAGTCCCTGCTTCCTTCCCTCTCTTGCCTGAGCCGGCCGGGATCCCGAATGTGCAGCACAGCTGTGGGGATGCCCCCCCTTCCCGCACTTCGCGTGGGGAAGGTCACGGACACATCCACATCCGCACGTGAGCGTCTTTTGGGGGGGGCGTTTCGACATTGGACGGAAAGGGGGGGGGGGAAGGGAGGGTCTGGCTCAAGACCTCTGCTTCGTGCACTTGTTTGCAGGAATGCTGCCTCTGGGGGAGAGGCTCCACCCGCTCGAACCAGGCGCCGAAAAACAGCCAAGATCTGCTACTCCATGGGGGGGTAGGAGGGGGGGGTTGGGGACCCGCGCCGATCGGCAGAACAACAAATGAAAAAAACGATTCCCACCCTCTAGCCGTCTGGTGTATCCTCCCGCGGCGCGTTGCGGGAGCATCGAGCGTCGAAGGGCTGGGGGTTCCAGGGGAGGCCAAGGCCTGTCCGAGAGCCCGCGCCCATCTCCGAACTCACACTGCGATGTGGGAGCCTCTGACCTTAGCTGCCCCGATGCGCAACACGCAAGACGTAGCGTATTGCTACGGAGCTCAGCACGTAGACTGAAAACGTAGGTCTGACGCGGTACGATCGCCAAAGCGTGAGCCAATACGTTGAATCAACTCGCAACGTCTTGAGACGGACGTATTGAAGGCGGGACGTGTCGCGTTTCAGAACGGGCGTATCGAGGCAACTGAGCCTCTGACAAGTGCGGCACATAATCATAGCGGGCAGCTCTTTCAACTCGCTCGCACTGCTGCAGTTTGAACAGCAGCCCTCTACCACGAGGGCCGCCTGGCTTGTGAGTGAAACTTCCACGGTGCACTTCACGCCTGGAGTCCTACCATCATGGCAAAAGCTTCAAGCATCTTCTGGCTGGGCACTCAGAGGAAGGGCGAGCGAAGGAAAGCGCAAGCGGAGGATCATGGGTGGATCTGGGCATCTAGTCGAGAAGCGCGGGGAGGACATCGAGCAGAGAGAACGGCACAAAACGACGACATGTCTGGAAAGCTCCGCTGGGCCGGGATGGGCCAGAAATTCAGCCCAGATCATGTCCCACATGTGGCCATCCCGTCCCTGTTAGGACCAAGCTGTACATTGCTTGCGGATCTCGAAGCGCACGACCGAACACTCCAAGGAGAGAACGCAACGGGCGGCAGCCTCGATACATGTCTGTGACGCTCGACCAACAAAAACAGTGTCTGGGCCAATTTCCACCCAGCGGCCTCTGGCCTAGCCAAATCTGGAGAAGCGGGTCGAAAGCAGATCGGCGATACTGGATCGAAGGAGGCGCTTGGCCCTCACCTTTCCCCCCCCCCCTGCGACCGCAATGTGGGCTGATGATGAAACGCTGATTCGGGGGGCGATTAAACACATAGCTTCTGCGACCTGGTTGTGTCTATACTGACGCGCCAGGGGGCTCTACCGACGGAGAAACGACGATTCGTACTGCACCTGAATCAGGATGAGCTGGCAAGAGGGCGCCTGATATGTGTATCTGTGTGTGTGCGTGTGTTGAGGGGGGGGGGCCTACTGCGGGCTGCCTGCCCCTTGCCCAGTGGGCCTACAGCAGTCGCCTGCCCGTCCCTGGTCGGCCTACTGATTCCACTGCCTTACTGCCTCGCACTGCCCACGGCCTGCCTTGTTCTCCCTCCTCCTGACTGTGTGCTGCTTAAGCCGACGCCACTGCGCCACGCTTGTGGCCTCGGCCAGATACTGCCCGCACCGCTCTGCGTCCGCAGCACTGCCTTCCCGCTGCCTGCTTTCCCCTCGTCTCCCTTCCCGCGGCCCCCGCCTCCATCGAGCGCGGTGCGGTGTCCAGGGAGGAGAAACTGCGACGAGAGTGGTGTCATGATGCGATTGGCTCAGGGTGCGTTGCCGGCGTTCTAGACGATCTAGCGGCCCTCGTATCTGCAGCCCGTGCGGAAAAGTAGGGGTTCTTGGGATAGTCTGAACTTCTTGCTCCTCTGGAGAACAGCGCGCCTCGCGGAACTGCGGGGATGACGGGCCCAACTAACTTCCCCGCGCTTGTTTTTGGTGAGCCACCTCCGGCAATCGTGAAGCTGGGTCCCGGGAGAGGGGGAATACGAGTTACATCGCCAACTCACACTAGTCCATCGCATGGATTCTGATATGTCGAGAGAAGTCTGAGATGGTGCCGATGCGCAACACAGCGACTGTTGTGCAAAACTGGCAGCGGCCGCTGTTGGGTAATCGGCATTCGTTCGCCCCAAATTGACGACGCCCGCGGCGATGCCAGAATGAACAGACACTGCTGTCGGTCGTCGCCCCCAGTATGTCCGTCCTTATTTCGATCCCCCCGACTTTCGGAAACGAGACGAGACACATGCCTGCTAAGGCCTTCCACTGGACAAACATTAGAATTGTTTTTTGACAGTCCCGTAAGACTTCCAGGATCTTGGAGGCAGCCGCAAGGTCTGAACTGGCTGGGACCCCAGAAGATCGGTCAGGAGGGGCGGGGATGAAGCCAAATCCTTTCAAAAATGTCCCCAGATCCCTCCTGGGGTCCATCTGGTGCAGTTGTTCATCCGGATCCATTTTTGACGGTCCTGGGGCTAAAAAAAACGGCCCCCGGAGGCCGAAAGAGGCAAAAGCTTCCCTGAACCCAGAACCTCGAACCTAACTTCCTGCTGGCCAGAAACAATGCTGGTCCACCTCAGGCCCCCAAGGCAGCTCCAACCAGGAGCCCTTTCCCTCATGGCGACAGACGCCTGCTGATTGAACGCCCGATACATCTGGAATAACTCTGGTTAAGGGTGGTTCTGCTCTAAGCCCCAGACGCATGAACCAGCAGCTACCCCTGATCGCCCCCAGCCCGACGATTTCCGGAGGGCTGCAACGTCCGAACTATCGGAGATAACTCCCGTCAGCGGCAACTCCGGCACGAATCAACAGTCACCCCCGGCCGCCTCCAGCCCTCACGACGCGGGGCTCTGAGCTGAGGCCCCGCGCGGGCTCCACGCCGCAAGGGGCGATGCTGAATTGCTGGCCGCCGACGGTCCCCCCGGCCGTCGCCTCGTTGCCCGCGAGACCCTGCCGGCCAGTGTGGGGCTCGTAGAAGGCCTTGCGCGGAACCCGGCATGCCCAGAGGGCAAGGAAAACAATGCATCCCTGAAGAGAGTTACAACAAAAAGCAGTTACGCTGAGAACAATCGACTTCACTCCAAGCTTGTTCCTAAACAGTAGCCCAGGTCTGGGTCTACGATAACCCCACGCAGAAAGGAAGCTCCAAGGAAACGCCCATGGTCCTGTCCAGATTCTTCATTTTCTTAAGCGAAATCTGAAGTCCATGAAAGATGACGTTTTGTATTGTACATTCTGAGGGGTGTACATCCCAAGCCACGGACATACGGTCAACAATCTTTGATAGCGGCGGCGGCGGCGGCTCCGACGACACGCTGCGCCCTGCGAGCGGATAGTCGCTACGCTCCGCGGGGTGCGAGGCTTCGGGAGGCTCGGGACGTGGAGGAACGGGGACTGGAAGGTGGAGAGCGTGCCGCGCCGAAGCGGGGTGGGCCAGAACCAGCGGAGCGACACGCTGCCCAAAAGTGCCCGACCAAATGCCCTCGCGCCCTGGACGCCGAGGCATGATCCCACTGATACGCGATCCCGTGGGTGCCTTCCGCACGGGGTCTCCGCGCAAAGCCACCCTGTACACAGGGGACCGCGAACCGGGAGTTCAGGCCGCGAGGCTGTGCGGATGGACATGTTCCCCGCCCACGGCAGAAGAACATAGACCAATGCACTATAGTTTCAGCATGCTAATCCGACATGCGCTGCCTTCCTCAAACGTGAGCTGCGTTTTTCGAAGTGTGCACACGCACTCCCCCTCCGCACCATTATCCTGGGAGCCCCCCTTTCAGTTTTACATCGTTACGGTCAACCCGTATCGTAAGGACGCGCGGTAAGGATGCAAGGGCCTTGGAGGACCAAGTTTACGTTTTTCGAACGAGTTTGGCCAGTGGAAGTCGCTAAGGATGGGCCGAAGGGGCAAGGATGCAAGGGTACCCTTGGGAAGGCTGCCCATCCCTACTATGCGGGCTAAGCGTAAGGCTGCCACAATATTGCACCTAGCTTCCTTGTTTTGGGGCTGCATTCAAACTGCGCGCTTCTATAATACATACATGTGTGTTATATACGTATACACATACATATTTGCAGACATGCCCCTTCATATACATATATATATATATGTATATATATATGCTGTGATAGCTGCCTGTTGTTGGCATACAGCTTGATCTCTGCACGGATTTAGCATGCATTCAGATTGCCCATGCTTTGCCTTTGGACTAGGCTGAGCTGGCTGGCCGCTCGTCTTGCGAGTCCCCTTTATGGCGCTGTCTTGAAGGTAGGAAAAAGGCGGACCGCGTGATCACATCGATGATGCAACTCCGTAGAGCATGCGCAAAACCACAACGCATGCATCTCACAAAGCACGCGGACGACAAAGTGTGCAATCTACATAAGCAAGAGGGTGCAAGAGCGAGAATGACGGAGAGGAAAAAACGCCCAACATGTCTGGACACGTTACCCTCAATCTGCGTCCCGTCCTTCCACACCCGCCTTCTACTCATCGCCACTCATCCCAGCACACTGGTCAATCAAGATGCGAGCGGGCTGCCTTGCACAAGACCCTCTTCTTCTGAAACGCGGGCTGGAGGTGACGCGCCACGAGCCCCAGCGATGTCTCCCGGTAATCCTGCACTCGCGTGTTTGCTAGGCGCAGCCCCTCATAAAAACTTCTGAAGTACTCGCCAACTCCGCCAAACTCGCTACAAAGCAACTTCTGACATCCTGATCTCTTTTGCGTTTAAAAAACCAGCCGAGTGATCTACAGCGCAAGCAGTGCGTGATTGTTGGAAAGAGGCGCACGTCAGGGAAACTGGTCCGCCACTCTGCGGTCGATCGGGAGCTTTCGTGAAAAATTCTTGCGTCACTCTCATCCCCGTCTTCCTCCTCCTCCTCCTCCTCCTACTCCTACTCCGTTTTTTTGTTGTTCTCTGTCTCTTTCTCTCTCCGAATCTTCCCTCCCCCCTCCTGCCTCCCACTCCCCACTTGCTCGCCTCCACCCTCACATCCCCTTTCCTCCTCCCCCTACTCCATCCTCCTTCCTCTCCTCTCCTCCTCTTGCCCCTCCTCACCCCGTGGGCTGGAGATGCGAGAGCGCCTCAGACCGCCTCGCCCGGTCCCCAAGCCGAAGAAGATCCTTCAGACAACTAACCTCGCACTCCTCCCCCCCTCCTCCCCTCCCTCCTCCTCCTCCTCCCTCCTCCCTCCTCCTCCTCCTCCTCCTCCTCCTCCTCCTCCTCCTCCTCCTCCTCCTCCTCCTCCTCCTCCTCCTCCTCCTCCTCCTCCTACTCCTCGTCCTCCTTCCCCTGTCCTTTCCCCTTCATCCCCGCCTCCCCCTGCTTCCCCCTCCTGATTGCCTTCGTAGAAGCGAAGGGGAGACTGGCAGAGAGAGGCTAAGTAGAATGCTGGCAAGAGGAGTGGGGTAGGCACTGCACTCCCTTCTGGTGGCTGGGGTCAGCGGTCAGCTGCGCGGCAGCAGCACCCGCCTGAAGTTCCAACAGCAGGTTTCTGAACTCCTGGGTGTCTACCTGCGGCCAAGTCCCGACGGAGGAGGGCCCGGTTGTGCACGCGGCATGCGGCACTCAACGTACCGATACTGAAAGGAGACAGATTTAAGGACATTCAGAACTGTGACCTGCCCTGTCAACAACCCTTGATGAGAGAATTCTGTGCGAGTCGGCATTGTGTCAGATGCAGCCTCCTCACGCCCGCATATCAACAAACATCTGGATAACAACACCTCGTCTGGAATTATGCTGATGTCGGACAGGGGGGGAACAGCGCTTCGAATCAAGTGTCTGAAATCTGGCGACAAAGCTTTGAAGCGTGAAATCAAGAGAGGCTTGCCTGGGGTGTTCCGATGATGGGGGCGCACAGCCACACGGGCCAGCCACCGCATCCTCATTGACACTCGGCTCCCTCTGTCCACGCGCCATCCCTGTACCGCTCTCTACCTGCTGCTCGAGATCGAAACGTCGCCGGCTGACCTGAAGAAGGAGCCTCCGATTAGGGACCCAGCCTGTGCGATTTGGGGGCGGCGATGGGCGGAGATGGGAAGGCCCCCCATCTTCCATGCAGCATCAACAGCTCTGGCTCCCCTCGGACTGCACCCCGTGCTAAGAACACTCCTCCGAGCCTATTCCGACTGGCGTAGCGGCGTTGACACAAAGCTTCCTCGGGGCTACTGTCTTTGCTGATTCTCGACTCTTCTCCCCTTTCCTCCCCTGCCCTGGGTTCCGAGCTAGAGCCACTTTACCCTTGCGAAAGCGAAAGCGCACTTGCTTTCCTTCCGTTCCTCTCCCCACTCCCTCGCCCCATGCCTCCCTCCCTTCATTGGCTCCCTCCCGCACCTGTTCGCTGCACAGTCCCATCCCGCCCCCAAAGCAACCATCAAGGAACTTGACGGGCAGTGCACAGACAATGGGCCATGAGTCAGGAGGCAACCTCATCCGAACAGGCCTGCCAGTCCAAGCCAAAACAGCAGCATAGTTACTGGTGGCATCGAACATCAAACTACTGGTGGTCAGATGCTGGTCTCCTTCCCACGAGCGGGCGCTTTCGACTCTCAAGGCAACTGAGCGGGCACTGCAAGGCAATGCGCGCCGCCCACCTGTGATGACGCATCGGATGACCAGCTCAGCCCGTGCTCCCCGCCCGCCTCTGCCCCTGGAGCCGTCCCTTCCCCCTGCGCCCGCAGGTGCCGGGGGGCCTGCGGTCAGGAACTTCGGGATCGCGCGTCGCCGCGACGGCCCATGGCGACACGCCATACCGCGCAGGTGGGCAGCGTGCGCTCCGCTCCGCGGCGCGAGAGGCTCGGGAAGCTCGAGACTTCGACGCCTGGGAGCCGCGAAGTGGATAGCGCGTCGTGGCGTACAGGGGAGGCCACTCCGCAAGAGGCCTTCCACAAGAAGCCCAACCCTGAGATCCAAGGACATCAACTGATTCTTTGGTGTGGGAGCGTCACGGCTGCCATCGCGAAGCCATCGACGCCCAGAAAACCCAGGGCGCCCTGGAGGCAAGCAGGGTGCTTCTTGGCAGGGGCACCCACTGTGGCGTGCGCTCCGCTCCGCGGGGCGAGAGGCTCGGGAAACTCGCGACTCCGACGCCCGAGAACCGCGAAAGGGATCAGCGTGCCGCGCCGCAGCGTGGTGGGCCGGAACCCGCGGCGCGACCCTCCGCTCCCCGAGTTCCCGGCCCCAGGCCCCACCCGGACAGCACGCGCGAAACGGGAGGCCCTCCGCTGCTCCCGAGCCCCGATTCTTGGGTCGGGCATGTCCTCCTACAGGCGGAGCTTGGAAGAAAAATGAAAAATAGTCCAGAAATATTGCAACATAAGCAAAAGCAGTAGAAAAATCGTCCCCGGACTATTTCTTGCCTGTTCCTTGAATATTCCTCCTGTAGAAGGACATGCCCGATTTGACGCTATGCTCCCGAGCCCCGAGTCCCGAGTCCCGGGCCGCTGCTGGATTATGGGTCGACCACACTGCCCACAGGACGCTCGCCAGGCTCGAGACTCGAGCAAGAGGGCCAACAAATCTCGAGCCGATCGCCCCAGACCGAGCCGCCTCCCGACCCTGTGCTCGACCTTCGGGCCTGGCAGGGCCCTCCTGCCCCTCTCGGGGGAGCCGAGAGAAGAGGAACAGAAGCCGGCAGGCAGCCAATCCGCGGATCCTCCTCCTCCCTCTTCCTCCTCCTCCTCCTCCTCCTCCTCCTCCTCCTCCTCGCACCCCTCCGCGGAGGAGGGGAAGAGGAGGAGGAGGAGGAGGAGGAGGAGGAGGAGGAGAAGGAGGAGAAGGAGGAGGAGGAGGAGGAGGATGCGCGGTGAGGATGCAAGGGCCTTGGAGGGCCCCGCTCATGTTTCTCCGAACGAGGTTGGCCAGCGAAAGCTGCCAAGGATGGGCCCAAGGGGCAGGGATGCAGGGGTACCCTTGGGAAGGCTACCCATCCTTACTATGTAGAGGCCTCCTTAATGGGGTCGGCATTCATTGGGTCGGGGGATCGCGCCGCATCGGCGATACATCGGCGATGCATCGCCGATGCATCGCCGATGCACCAGCCATGCACGGACAGACGACGTCGGCGATACATCCGCGACGTCGGCGTGGAGAAAATTGGGCCCCGCATCGAGCCGCATCGCCGATGCGTCGGCGATGCATCGGCGATGCGGCGCGATCCTCCGACCCCGCCTACTCCGAACCCATCTGTAAAGGGAAATTAAGACACACAAATAAATACACACAAATAAACATATTCCCCATATTTTCCCATATTTTCTGGGTTTTTGTCTTCCCCCCCACTTCCCATATTTTGGCATATTTTCCTGGGAGTCGACGATTAATTGTGTCTGTGTGTTTCTTTTCCCCCTGAATCTAGGAGCCCTAGACTGTGCGCGTTGACTGCAGAGGAGCACGGGCACGCACCCTCGGAGGTCCGCGCGGATGCCTCGCGTCTCGGCGCTGGGCCTCCCCCCCCCCTCCCCGGCGCCGCCGGAGAGCGCGCCAGGGGGCGACGAGCCCCGAGCGAGGCCGCGAGGGGGCTCCTCCGGCGCCGAGCCCAGAAAAATCCGCGCCGGCCTCCGAAAAGGTACCCATCGGTCGGAAAGAGCAGGTGGGAGCACGAGGCAGGAAGGCGTTGAAGGTAGATTGGGTTCCGTCCGCCCCCTTGGGCGGACGGAAAAGGTGAAGCCATTCGATCATGGAAGGCGCTTAAAGTAGATTGGAATCTGGGAATTCCACAATACCTGCTTTCAACGACCCATGGGTATGATTATGTCCATGCTTGTTTTAGGTCTGATATTTCCTGCTACACACGGATTTTGGACGAAAACTACAGATATTCAGAAACATATTACAAAATGATCAAACATGGTCGAACCTCGTCCCCAGACTATTTTTGTTACCAGTATTGAATATTTATCCTGTTTCTCCTGTAGATGGACGTGCCCAACTTAATGTTTGTTCCCCGAGAATTGAGCAGGGACCGACCGTTCTGGCATTCCTATAGGCCTACCACGACATGTTCTTAGAACCCAGAAATGCTCCAATAACAAAATCAATGCTCCTAGAACATAAGCCCGATGTGTTAAAACAAGACAGAACCAGCCAGAAATGTGATCGGCGAGCCGGGACGCTTCGCCGCTGCTCGAGAGAAATGTCGGCGGCGAGCCTTCTCAGAAGGTTCGGAAGTTTCCTGGCCTTCCGAAAAGTTCTCAGAGCCTTCCCCGAAGACACAGAAAGCCTCTCAGAAGGCGGGAGGGCTTCTGAGGAGTCCCACCGCCTTCTGAGAGGGCCTTCTCCTTCCCACTTTCCCCGTCGCTCGCCGCCGAGAATGGGAAAGGAGGGGGGGAGAAGCAAAAGGGGGACCAGCGAATCAATTGCTTGTAGCTGACTCTCCCTGCGCCGCCCGGCTCAGGATCGTCTTGCCATCGCTCGGACGTCCACTTCCCGTGCAGTTGTCGGTTTCGTGCGTGCTTGTTGTGTGTTTCCGCAAACTGATCCCAGAAGCTCCTCGATGGTCCGCGCCGAGAACATACGTGCACACGCAGTCCGAGCGATAGGGGTTCGAGGCCCCGGGCCGCCTGACAAGCAGGATTCGCGTGTCGCTGGATGTTGCACGTCGACGGGCCTGCTTGCGATCGGCTGTGATCGTGCTCGGCCGATCACGTGATTGGGCAAAATGGATCACGTGATCGCCGACCCGATCACGTGATGATCCGATCGCCGTGATCAGTGATCGCGATCACGTGATCCGCAGACACTAAGAGGGAGAAGGAGGGGGGGGGCAATTTTTTACTTCCGCCAGGCATCTAACGGTCTTCCGCCAGCTTCCACCGGCGGGGTCACCCCCGTTATGCTTTCTCGCCGGCTAGTCTGAGGTCGGGCATGTCCTCCTAAAGGCGGATTGTTTAGTTGGCGAAAGGTTAAAAAAACATAGTCCATACATTGCCGAAAACAGTCAGAAAATAGTACCAACATCGTCCCCAGACTATCTTGTTTACTATTTTTGAATCGTCCTCCTGTCGAGGGACATGCCCGACCCAAGGCTTAAGTCCCCGCCCCTCCCTTTCGAGGAAGAGGCGCCCAACCGCGCTTCGCGAGGGCGGGGGCCCTCCCTGGAGCGGCCCCCGTGTGCCCAGGGCTGCGGAGCGGCGGGGACGACGCTCGAGCCCGCCGCAGGCTGCAGCTCTCGCACCCCCGCTGCCCCGGATCCGAACTCTGCTGCACGTCAGGACCGATCATCCTCAGAGCGTGTGCTGGCCCCAACGTGTGCTTGTCCATCGAGGCCCGTCGATACGGCGCAGGCGATGTAATGATCCATTACTGGTTGGGCTGAAGGGGGTAACGCACACACACACACACACACACACACATTGGGCTAACACACGTCCTGAAGATTATCGACAGGAACAGCCCATCGTGGGTTACGAACCTGGAGGCAGAACAAATACCAGATCGGCCTACAGACCGCACCAAAAAACATCAGACTAATGCAGAAACGTTCAGGACCTCAAGGCACACGGATATCCTCGAGACTCACCCAAGACGGCATGAAAGAACACGAGACAGGCATTCGCAGCTCGCAGGACATGTATCTCGACACCTCCAGACAAGCGACTGACCCGGGTCAATGCAGACCCGGGTCGGTCAGGCTCTGCAAGATCCTGCAAGATACTGCAGGATCCTCCGCGCTAACCCGGGTCAATGCCCCCCTGGCTCTGCAGGATCCTGCAAGATCCGGCGCTCTGGCTGACTCCGGGTTGCACTGACCCCGCCTGAAGGCTCTCGACATCCCCGCTCCTGGTGCGCCCTGGCCCTCCCAGCCCCGCCAGCGGCTGCGACTTGTCTGTCCACTCGCCCTTCGCGAGAGCCTGCGGCAGCTTGTGCGAGATGATGCCTGCCCGCCCGAGCCAGGGCTCCCCAGGGAGGTTTTGCCTTGG